TTATAGAGTTTGCTATAAAACCCTATGTAGAGACCCCTTTTCAAAAGTTCCCCCTTTTCAAACTCCTTGTTGCCATAAATGGGGGACTCTCATTTTTTTGTAATTGGAAAAGTTAAGCTAATAAAGCATAAGACATATTTTTATTAGCAACTTGCGTTTTAAATCGGTATTAATTTTGATTATGGTTATTAACAAAGAATTTGTATTGCGATTGACATTTTAGTTTAGTAGTCAAATGATTGTAACTACTAGAATGGTGTTTAATTGTATTCATTGATCTTGTCTCTACCTTACCAAAAAGTTGTACATTTATATCCAATTTAGTAATTTTATGAGCAAAGATTTTATTTTTAGAATAAATGCCTGAAAAACCCTGAAATGAGCGGGCTTACAATATCGTCATGGTTTTTATCAGAACATCTACGCTTAACGTAAGTAGGTAGTTACATTGTTTTGTTAATCTTCGTGCCTCCGTATTAGATAATTAAAAGATAATAATGTAGGTAAAAATATAATTATATCCATCCATACTTACTAAATTCGCGATAAGTTTGCTATTTTGCTAATTTTATTGTAGACTCAATACCATTTAATAGTTAATGTATTTGAATGTTTTATCAACATTATATTATTCTCTCGTGTCAATATTTACTTATTTTTTTCTAAGATACGTTATCTTCGTCGGACTGAGAGCGAATTTTATACTAATATTATAAGTAGTATTTAAATTTAAATAAATAATACGATTGGGGACATCCTTGGCTTAATTTTAAATATTATGTCAGTTTTGGAACTATTTTCAGCTTTTTCATGCAAGTTTTCATCTATATATATAAAAGAAAGTCGTGTTAGTTACTCCACTTATAACTCAAGAACGGCTGAACCGAATTAGCTGAAAATTGTCAGGGAGGTAGTTTAGAGCCAGGAGAAGGACATAGGATACTTTTTATCCCGTTCGAAATAAAAAAAAAAGTCTGCTTATTTATTGCCATTAAGGCGGAACAAAGTTCGCCGGGTCAGCTAGTACTTAATAACTCTTTGGTACAATGTTTCACTGATACGAATAACAGAAATAAATTGAATGACGTTGTTGACTCTACATATTATTAAGATTGACCTTTATTAACAAGACCCAGGTCGTAGTCATAAATTGTGTCTCGTTTTAAACGATCGTATGGCAATAAAACTGATTGTATTGTTTTTCTGACTTAATTTAAGCGAGTTGAAGACGCAGAGAACTCTGTATGAACAATGTTTGTCAAATGTATTAGTTGCTTCAAAATACACACGAGAAACAGTGTTTACTATTTTGAACTCTAAACAAGTTGCTGTCGGATGAGAGTATAAGTGAAATTAGCACTTACCGCTTTTTTGTTCCAGACAAGAAATGCACTACACTGGTTGTCAGATTCGAAAAACGTTAAAACACACGTCCACTTTAACTTGAACTTGAAAAGTTGATGGGTTACCCCTCTGTGGCCTATGGTAGTAAGCCTGGGGGGAGGCAGAGGGGTTTGTAGGTTTATTTAAGCGTTTGAGATCGGTCTCGAGACACGCTCGGTGGGATCGAGACACGCGCGACGTCAATCCCCCACGACTGGCACATCGCGACTGAGAGCCGAGACTCGGCGCCCTGCCGCCCGCCCTAACGCGCCGCCCGCCCAACAGGAATGTTTGCACCGACTTTTAATACTGTTATTTTATTAATATGCAAATGCAACGTTCTTAAAACGGGTGCTTGATGGGTATGTTATCGGCAGTTCGCGGTTGGCAATGACGTAAGTAAAGAATAAGGTTAAGTATTTAGTATTTTTGATTACTTAAGGCGGGAGGATATTCCTTGTTTGATAACATACTTTTATTTTATTTTTTCAGACAACTACCTTCATCTAAATTGGTATAGTACGTAATGTACCTACCTACCTACCTACAACGGCTCAACAAGTGTCTCTAGAAATAATAATTAAGGCCCTTAAATCGTTGAACACACAACAAAAACAAGGACAGAAAGTTACAACAGGGAAATTTAATTTTTTTACAGATTCAAACACGTAAAAGTACCTACATCACGATAAACTAAGAAACGTAAAAGTCAAGGCAACATGAAAATCTAGTCGTTTGGGCGGTTGATTTTCCCATCGAAATGCAAGGCTTGTTACACACCAAAGCAAAGCGTAGCGTAGCGAATAAGCGAAGTAGAGAGGAAAATAACACCTTGCATTTACATTGGGTTTGACACAGAATGCGCACTTCGTAAAATGAGCACTTTGCAAAATGGTCACTTCGCAAAATGCAAAATCATCATCATCATCAACAAATCAGGTCATTCAGTCTCTTCTGCAAAAGGATGAAACTGACAACTTTCAGTTTTAAACTACAAAAGCGAAAGGTCACTGACTGACTCACTCAGCACGAAATCTCAGAAACTACAAGCGCTGGGAGTCTCAAAATTTGCATGGAGGTGCCTTTTAGAACGTAGGTGCTCACTAAGACGGGATTTTGCAAAATTCAACCCCTAAGGGGTAAAACGGTATCCACGCGTAAGTCGCGGGCGGCTTTGCTTGAATTTTGAGGTTGAGAGCCATCTGCGCTCACCTATTGTCCGGTGAAGCTGAAAAAGCCGCTCACGGCTATCAGCATAGTCAGTCCGAAAAAAAAGTCGCGGGCGGGCGCTAGTTTGTGGGTGGTGTGGCCCCACGTTGGGCGCCAATGTCACGGTTATATGGACTTTAGGAGCCGTGACATTATTAGTTTACTTAGATTTAGATACTAGAGTTAAATTAAAGATAGATTTATTTATTTATTTAATAACATTCGGACATAGGTCAGGCGAGAAAATTGAAAGTAAACTAAGGATATCAGTTTTTTGACGGTCCGTCGTCCGGTTTGAAAGAGCTCGTGAAGCACTTTCAGGATCAGTAACAAGTTTTTCGATATCTTGTATAGGTAGTTTAAAATAATATAATCGAGTGAGATCACTTTTCGTTTCCAGCCTGTGTAATTTGGACGGCCGCCCTGCCTAGTGGTCGCCGTGGTGGACTATGAGAGCGGTCGCGGGTTCGAACCCCCACATCACGTCATGATACAATTAAATAAGTATCTGATTTTATGGTCTCCATGTTTTTATATTTGTCTGCCGTTTGGTGTAGTGGTTCAGAACGGACTACTATGCCGATGGGTCCCGGGTTCGATTCCCGGCCGGGCAGAAATTGAAATGATGATGAATTTTAATTTCTGTGACGGATCTGGGTTTTTTCTACGTTTATTGTGTATATTTACAAAAATGGAGTATTTAAGTATGTTTATATCCGTTGTCTAGTACCCATAGTACAAGCTTTGCTTAGTTTGGGGCTAGCGGCGCAGTGTAAAATGTCCAAGGATATTTATTTTTTAATATTATTTATATTTTTATACGTTAACAAAGATCCTTAATAAAACCACTACCTACAAGCACGTATTGCAATCTTTGCTTTGGGACTAGATGATGCAGTATAAGGATGCGTAAGTACCTAGCCTACTTATTTATAAAAATGAAACTGGTTGGTCTGAATAATTCAGTTGCAGTACGATTCAATATAATATGGCTACGATAAAATATTCAAGTAATATGGCTTGTAGTGTATGGCCTATTCAAGGAGAGAGTGAATGAATAGGCACTTACAGGGCAGGTATGTACCATACCATACCATCCTAGACTGCATCTTATTTCACATGGCGTGATTGCAGATAGAAATGCTTTGTTCTACATAAAAAAAATATATTTAAAAAGCATCCGTGCCAAAAGAGATTGGCAATCTCGCAAGATAGGGCCGTCTATTAATTGACTTTTTGTCATGACACAACCATGGACCTTTTATAGGTCCATGGACCCAACCAACCCAAAATATCTTTAGTCTTTGATTAGGTACATAATTGATTTGATCAAGATTTCATGCAATTCAAAACAGTTAAACCTACTCTTGATTGATGCTCCACTTGAAATTAAACATCCTTGTGTTTTGTAGCACAGCACAAGTACTTTATTTTTGTTTAAATTTTTTATTATGAATATCTATCACATCGCTGTCACGTTGAAATTAAAACCGTCAGTATAGTTCCAAAATACTGGACTGTCCTGTCGATGACATTGACAGCGGGGCGCCACTGTCAATACCGGATCGCTGGTTCAGATTTTTNACGATGGTAGCGCCCCCCTGTCATTGAGTTTGGTGGGACAGTTCAGCGTGGGTCATCTATAAATGAATATAGATGACCCACGCTGAATTGTTCCACCAAACTCAATGACAGGGGGGCGCTACCATCGTTCAACTATATGATTTCCAACATGGCAAAAATCGGAACCAGCGATCCGGTATTGACGGTGGCGCCCCGCTGTCAATGTCATGCATAGGACAGTTCAGTATTTTGGAACTATACTTTTTCATGTGAGTGAAAAATATTCACACACTAGCTGACCCGGCGAACTTCGTACCGCCTTAGCGTAGAGATTTTCTTAATATTTTTTTCCGTAAGAACCATCCTTGGACTTCCACAAACATTTAAAAAAAAGAATTATCGAAATCGGTTCAGCCGTTCACACGTGATGCCGTGACAACGCGAAACGGGTTTCATTTTTATATATANAAAAATATTCACACATGTAATTCGCCAATGTTACTTATACTGACATCTAGCGGAATACTTGAAAGTTACCTCGTTTTAAAAATCACCCAAAACGTAGGGTAACTGTGGCAGCTGTTGGTTACAGTAATGTTACAGAGATGGCGTTAGTAAAGCATGAACAAGAAATATTTATCTTTGTCAATAGATGTCACTGTTTCCTAAAATTATACCTTGTAAACTTGTTTTTAATAAAATTAATATATTAATAAGAATAGTTTTATTGATCAATTAAAATTTTAAATACTGTAACCTAGATTGTTTTATGTTTTTTTTAATTGATAAATGAAGAGATAGTTACTAAACATACTTAAGTCTGAAGTGTTCCAATAAAAAGACGATTTCCGTAATACATAATTGTTTATTCATGTATAATTATTTGAATACATCAAAAATTTTTGGTGTAATATGAAATTCGCTAATGCGTACTACATCTGGCCTCGTTGTAGGCCAGTCCATTGCTTACATTATTGTACATCTTCAGGAATGTACTATTCACTACGGCTACTCTACTTAGCGGCAATGCTTTAAGAATTTATTTTACAAGTAATATTTTAAAATTAAATACATTAATTTAACTAGTTATAAAACATTAAATCAGTCATTTACAAAGCATCCTTTATTTTACAACAATAATAGAACCAGATTTTTTTTTATTTTCCGTGATCTTCCCTATTTTGGATATCGTTTATTGCACGAAATATTATAATTATTTATTGCATTTCGTTAAAATATATTAAAAACCTTGGGACAAGTTTACTTTATAATTTTTGAGCACAAAGAATTACAATCTCTTTATAATAATCATCAGTTTGTGACAATGAACATTGAAGTTTTTGAGATGAAATCATGAAATATTATGGCCAAAGGACTAGTATATGAAAACACAACACTAATATTCCCAAGTAAGTAGGACAGAACATTATTTTAATAATTAAAACTGATTGTAGACCAAGTAAACTGTAAGCTTAGCTAGAAAACTACATAAACTAACTTTCTTTATTAGTTAGCTAGTTTTGGCTTAGCTTTAGCTTTTAGTTCTTGGTGTACAACCAGATATTTGTTGTAAGTCTAAAACGTAAACGATCTCCAAAACATATATCAAACAATATACAGTAACACAGACTTAACTTACACTAAATATTAACTTAAAAACTACTGCAATGGCGTTCCCTCCTCAAATTATTAATTTCACTGTGCTACTGTGTTTTAATTAATATTTTGGTTCATGTACGAAAATTATCATAGACTTAAGTTTCCATATTTTAGTTACTTATAAAAATATTCGAGATTAATTTGGGTAAACCAGATCGATACAAATGTTGCGTGCGATATTTTTTTTTTTTTTACTTTATAGATATTTTACTATTCATTATAGATCTGATTTTCTTTAAACGAATTTTTCATTTTAGATTAAATTTTTAAGGCTCGATTTGTTTATAAAATATGATTAAAACTTATCAGCGATCACCGATTCTTCAGAAACGTACACTTGACGGTACTTACATCAAGTGTGTAGATGCACTACGCGAAGTCACTCTTATTACTAGAGAAATAAGTACTATTTTCAAGGACCGTATGCATGTGATGTATTGTTATGTGTACATTTCATAGAATCCAGCGATTTGTATATAAAAGCTGAGAATTTAATTGTGAACTCATATCATTTATTCGTATAAAGAAAATGCAAATAAACACGAATTATAAATAGGCGCCTACTTCTAAATACAATACTGACAACGTAGTCGAAAATTAAAATATACACCTTCTAAGGACATAATCACAAACATAAGATTGTGGTTTAAAAACTCTATATCTAAACGAGATTGGTTTATTTACAGAAATATACAATCACATGTAGAAAAACATACGAACGAACACGCTGCTCATATCACTCGGCGGACATCAAATTATAAATACGTAACATAAAAACTATATTTACAACAACGTCATTTGTCATGACACGATAAAAAAGTATACTTTACAAAAAAATCCGACGAAGAATCGGGGAAAAATTAGGCGTTTTCCCATTTAATTCTCCATAGGCAGTGACGTAAAAAAATAATATTAATTAAAATATAAAAGTGCATTCACACCTGCTGATAAGCCCCGAACAGTCATATAAATCAACGACTAGTAAAAAGTCTGTCAACATTTTGTTAATATTGGGGACTTATCACAGAGTCAAAAATGACACTTTTATAACGTAAAAATTTAAACTTAATCACATTTTAGAAAAGTGCTGATCAAATGATTTTGTACTTCAAATTCGAGTTGAAATGTTGTAGTCACGGTTCTCAGTCCCAAATACCTTCGAAGGTTTTGAGATCAAATTATGTGAACAATATTTTGTGATACTTAGGCTGGGTTTATATCTAGAACTAAACATAGACAAGAACCATAGTATCTAAGGGCGCATCCACACTAAACACAATTTATTATTTCTGCAATCATACGGCTATTAGTTGCCAAAATACAGCCCAAATGTTCCAGCAATGCTTTGTGAATGCGCATTTACAATCTAGATACTAATCAAGGCCGTTATAGGACTATCGTTAAGATTTTGAGATTGTAAAAGCTGCCTGACTAAAACAACCATTTCGAATTGCGCTCTAAATCCGACGACCTTTGGTGGTTGACAAAAAATATACATAACCTATGCCTTTAGATATAAACCTAACCCGTGGATGCAGAAATTTGCGACGAATAATTGCCTATGTTCAAATGAAGAGAGCAGGTGCGCTTTGGAAGTTAGGAGGACTTTATCTAGAATTAATTTAAAAGTTCCTAGAATGGCTTTCAAATTATAAGTTCTTATCCGCTGTCCCTCTCTTAGGTTTTCAAACATGGACAATTCGTGACCAACTTCTACATTTCCTGGGTATAGGGACTGAAAAGACTGGTTTTGGACTCTATCGTCCTGGAATTAAGACACCATTTGCCTGTGTCCGTTCTGCCCATTGCCGTTCTGCGATGGGAAGAGCACGCCTTCGTATGTTACTCCGTTGAGTTCTATGGACACCACGAGCTGCTGGTCGCCTGTGCTTGCGTCACCTGAAAAAGGAATTAAATATTTAGTAAACTTGTTATAAAATGGCTGATGGTCGGAGAAAGGTTATGTAGGAAAATGCATTGGATGGAGATCATGTGGATAGATCATTATTGCAACTAACTACCCAATAGTTGCAATAACAAACTATTGTGGGTACCATGAAAATAATATAATTAAAGAAGCAAAATTGGCGCCCAACGTGGTGCTGTTTCTAAATATTTCTACATGTTCTAATAGGTTTATATGATATGTTTATTAATATAATATGCAACTACGAGTTCTATGCTGTCGTGGGTTGGTTTTTCGCACAATACAAAATTTTTGTTGCTGCTGCCTGCTGGTACCTGGAATCCGGAAATCATTGAGGGTAGGCCTATGTTCAGAAGTGGTCCTCCTGTGGCTGAAAATTATGATGTTTGGTAAACATATTGTTCAGGCAGGGGTCTTGACAGCGACACGATGTAGTTACACGAGTGTGCAATAAAAGATTTTATGAATTTAAAGTTGTTTACTCTGATAACTTTGATACTATTACAAGATTAACGTAGGGACGCGTGCGGTCGGCGCGGCGCCGTGAATCGAAAGAGAAAAATATAAATTCAGAACCGTCGCTCGAGACGACTGCGGCCGAATCGCGGTGTGCGACGCGAGAGGGCGCTGGCGATGCGTGTAGTGTCGCGTCAACACATATTTTATGCTGGACTTGATAGTAATATAGTAAACGAAGGTGCTGGACGCAGGCCGCTACCAACCGGGCAACATGGAAAGCATGGAGGCCTGTTCAGCAGTGGACGTCCTATGCTGAGATGATGATGATGATGAGATAGTAATAAACTAATAATACATACCTCGAGTGGTGATCTTGAAAGCGGCGCCATTGACGCCGTTCGGCGGGCTGCCGTTGACCGGCGGCGGCGCGCGCGGCGACGGCGGGCGGGGGGAGGGCGGGCGCGGGGTGCGGCGCTTGGCGGGCGGCGGCGGGGAGCGGCACGCCTCGCGCTTGCCTCCGCTCATGTTGGAGTTGGGACTCTCGCTGAGGTTTAGGGCCTCGCTGTGGAGAAAGAGGCGAATAAAATAGTTGCAAATAAAATTTCTTACAAGCCTGGTCCGTGAGCACGTAGAATTTTGTCCAATGACCCCAAGCTACCCATCCTTATCGCTCGCACGTAATTATGTTGCTGTCGCGCTCGCACACTCACTGCCGGGCGCCCGTCGCACACTCACTGCGGGCGCGCGTCGCACAGTCGCGACAGCAATATAATTACGCGCGAGCTATAAGGATGGGTAGCTTGGCGTCATTGGACGGGATTCTACGTGCTTCCGGACCAGGCTTTAGTCATACATAGAAATTCATAGAATGTTTAACATTGAAGTCATCGCCGTGTTTTTTTTTTAAAGATTATTTAGTACATAATTTGTTATTACAGTCGCGTTAGCCACTAAGCTAAAAATGCTTGTATCACGAGTGAGCTCACCGTAATAGTCGAGAGCCGGTGGGTACCGAATTCGCGATCACCGGATCACAAATCGGCCAGTCGTGACTACAAACATACTTAGTCGAACAATGTCTCTAATTTAAAAAAAGCAAATGTATGATTTGGACCACACTCTCCACGTTGGCTGTACGAACCCGGGAGGGCTCATGTCCAACCGGTTCAGCAATATTTTTTTTAGATACTGGCGCCCAACGTGGTACTGTATTTTTTTTAATTATCAGTTCTAACAAGTTTAGTGGTCGCGGGTTTGATTCTCGCATATTTCTATATTCGTTGTCTGGTATCCACAAGCTTTCTTTAGTTTGGGTCTAGGCGGCACAGTGTAAAATGCCCAAGGGTATTTATTTCCAAGGTATAGGATGGCTAGAGAATAAAACCACTTACCGTTGAGGCTCCAGCTCAGGCTGTGGACTGTTGTTGTTATTGTTGTAGAGAGACCAGAGAGTCAAGCGGGAGACGTCTATGGCACTGAGGGCGGCGGCGTCGCGGGGCGACATTATAGGTGCCGGCCCGTTCGAACCGGGCGGAGATTCTGAACCTGATGGGGAGAAGAATAGAGTTTATTATTGTTTGATCCTATAGTAATAAAGTCAAGTATTGAAATCCTCAAGGCGTTTTAACGTCTTTTCGACAGGTTCATCTAAGGTTTAAGTAGCTCAGCTGTGAAGAGCAGTCGTCCGGAAACCGAAAGGTCGTGGGTTTCATTCCAGTCTTAAGCAGTTATATTTAGTTAAAATCGGACTCTAAGGTTGGGTTGCACCATTTTACTTTAACTTTGACAAACGTCAAAAATCTGTCAAACTCCATACAAAAAACACCGGTTATCGTTAGTTACGGTCAAAGTTAGGTGGTGCAACTCAGCCTAATACTACCTACGGAATAATAGATTGTTCATTGCAACTAAACTAAATTAACTTATTTTTTTGCATCTTTTCTTATAAATAAATTTTCCACCAGTGCAACTCCTGTATAGCCAAGACCTACATCCACATACATGCTTGGCATCCAATGAAACAAAACCAGTGATGGTTGAATAGTCATGGGGATAGCAATGACAGATTTTTGGTCGTAAGCGATTAGAGTCACCAATTCCCGCCTTAGGTAGTTCGATTTTTTCAAGTTGTTTATTTAAGATTTTTGGTCCTTAATAAATCGAATTCCTTACCATTCCTCATCAGCTCCCTCTGCTGCTGGATCATCTTCATATATTCCCTCACGCGGTACTCGATATCGTGCTGTGAGATGTGAGGCGCATGCGGCGGGAGGGGGGGCAAGCGCGGGACGCCGCCCACGCCGCCTCCGAGAGAAAGGGACAGAGGCTGCATGTGCTGGGACAGCTGCGCGAGAGACGCTGGGACACCTCGGCTGAGCGGGGGCTGAAAGAGAAAGACATTGTTAGTTTGTTTCATCTAGATTTGTGCCGCCTCTGTGGTCTAGTGGTAAGACCACCTGCTTCAGACGCAGAGGTCCCGGGTTCGATTCCCAGTGGGGGCAGATTTTTCTGTTCGGTTTGGTTGGGGGTAGGGCTTGTTCTAAGTCCGCCTGGCTAGCTACCACCATCTTACCTAAGTCTGTCNATTATAGGCGCCGGCCCGTTCGAACCGGGTGGAGATTCTGAACCTGGTGGGGAGAAGAATAGAGTTTATTATTGTTTGCTGCTATTATAATACAGGCAAGTTTTGAAATCTAGGGTCTCATGCCCGTTTTCACCATCAATTCCAAATTTTTAAGTGACCGCTAATGGTAACACATAAACAGGAATTTAGTTTTCAAAAGGGTCACTTAAAATTAGGGATTGATGGTGAAAACGGGCACAAGTTGCTTAGATGGAAGAGCAGTCACCCGACAAGCGAAAGGTCGTGGGTTCGATTCCAACCATAGGCAGTTCGATTCAATTAAAATCGAACTGCCTAGGTTTGCTTCGAAGGTTGCTCATTGCGACTAAATGAAAATTGACACACTTTTTTGTATCATATAATTCGGGACTATTTCCACCTCTCCTTCCCACCACTGAGCTCCTGTATAGCCAGGATGTACAACTTGGCATCCAATGAAACCCAATCAATGATGGTTGAGTCGCGGGGATAGCAAACTAATTAATTGACAGATTTTTGGTCCTCAATCGGATTTCTTACCATTCCTCATCAGCTCCCTCTGCTGCTGGATCATCTTCATATATTCCCTCACGCGGTACTCGATATCGTGCTGTGAGATGTGAGGCGCGTGCGGCGGGAGGGGGGGCAAGCGCGGGACGCCGCCCACGCCGCCTCCGAGAGAAAGGGACAGAGGCTGCATGTGCTGGGACAGCTGCGCGAGAGACGCTGGGACACCTCGGCTGAGCGGGGGCTGGAAGAGAAAGATATTGTTATAGTGTGGTCTGCGAGCATGTAGAATTTTGTCCAATGACCCCAAGCTACCCATCCTTATCGCTCGCACGTAATTATATTGCTGTCGCACTCGCACACCTACTGCGGGCGCCCGTCGCACAGTCGCGACAGCAATATAATTACGCGCGAGCGATAAGGATGTGTAGCTTGGGGTCATAGGACAAAATTCTACGTGCTCACAGACCGGGCTTTAGTTTATTTCGTCTAGAAAATCGGTCGGTCTTTTTTATCGTCGCAGTGCAGTCCCACTAAATTCGGCTGTGTCGATTCACTCTGTTAATCTCGCTTCTCAAATATTTATTTATGTTACTATCATGCGTTTCAGATGTGACAGAAAACAGCCATAGTGACGCACAGTATTATCATGCTCAGGTCTGTAGGAAGTCTTAAGTCGCGAACAAAACTTTAACACATGATTTTACAGGTTTATTATTATTTAACCTAACTTTATTAGTGTTTCCATGTCTGCGATTGCTGAAATTGCTAATTAATTCCGTTTTTGAAGGTATTTTGCTATTTTATTCTAGAACTTTTCAAACAATGAGTAGAAAAAAGTCATAATGAGATATATCCATAAAATATGCAGACTTTAAAGTTAAATGATGACGCAAATTCTAACATTGACCTCAAAACAATTGTTAATATTAAATTTTTACATGATTATCATCAAGTCATAAGAAAAAACATCTTTACAAGTTTACAGATAAAAAAAAACACCGCGCAGACGAAATGTCAAAAGATTACCGCCATCGTTTTAATAATTTTATTCTTTTAAAACACTAGTCAGTGACGAAAATTACTTATGTTACTTGTATTAATTTCCAAGCTCTTGGTCTAAAAAAAGATAATAAGACGAAGGTTATTAATATAGTCACGTAGGTATGTTACCTACTAGACTTGAATGAAGTCGGTTAAAAAAACGCGCGTAACGTGTAACGCGTTTGTTTGTTCGCTATTAACTCCAAAACTACTGAATGGATTTTCACGCGGTTTTCACCGATCGATAGATAAATTTCTGGGGAAGGTCAAGGTATAGTTTTCATATAGATTCGTTTCTTACTATGCTGACCATGGCTAATGCGGCCTGCGCGTCGTACTGGCCGGAGGCGCGCCTGCCCTCCCTCTTGTTGCCCTCTATGGCTGCGTCCAGCTCGCTCCTGGTAGACAGATTCTTCTTCTCGCACTCGTAGTCGTATAAGTACTTCATGTATCTGAAAAAAAAAGATAGGAGGGGTTTCATAAACGAATACAATACAGGTATTAGTTCTATTCACTTTGATAGAAAGTTAGGAACTCGTAGAAGACCAAAAAAGGAATCAACCAGGGTTGATTCGGTTTTAATATAGCTTATGGCTAAACTGGAGTAGGGTAATGGCGGGAATCTAAAGAAAAAGAGGAATTAAAAATAAACCATGCAAATATTAAATCAAATAACCAACAATACAGTTACAGTAACACTACGATTTTAGCTTAGTAGGGGGTATGGACAATTTCATTAGGTAGGTACCTACTTGTTTCTTTATGAAAATCTCTATGTCAAACGCACCAAGAATTTCCTTTCAAAATCTATGACAAATAAGTCGTTTATGAGAGCGGCGTTGCATCAAAGGTAACTTTTATTATCAAAATAAATTACGAGATAAGTCGACGTCACCAGGCCTATAAGCCGAGATCCGACTACGTCATATGTCAATGCGCCACTCAGAGATCAATCCGGCACGACAAGCTTTAAATCATATTTCAAGCCCAATTAATATCGAGCCTCATAATAGCTCCATTACAATCTAATCCTATTCTTAGACGAGTCAATTTTATACGACACATTGTCACCATTCGGTACCATCACTCATAGGAACATTCAAGACGAACACAATGCGTGCGCGACGCTCTATGCTCTATAAAAACCGCGGCTACCTTTTCATAAACTGTCAAATGAGAAAGCTAAATATACGACATTCGTCATTACCGCTCGTCTAATTTTATGTACGCCCATCACCAGTCGATCGGAGACACTTTGAAAATAACAAATAAGTTGTACTGTTTGTAGCATTCGTTGGAAATCAGAGTTTCGTGCGTAACGGTCTGCGGTGCAGTTTGAATAAGAAATGACACCTTTGTGAAGCACAAAAGTTGTGGCGGAGGTGAAGGAACTCCGAGATAAATGGGAAATTATATCGTAGATGAGCCAGAGGTTATTAATTATGGAGTTGTCACGTAGCGGCCATTACGTCGCGGTCTTTGTCTCGTCGTGAGAGTTTGGGAGGCTGCACAAAGGCTGTCAAATATGGCACCAGCTCCTGACTTGTTCTGGACCACACAGAGCAGTTTGGATAGGGATAAACTGACAGTTCAACGTGATTAAATGTAATGAACGTTTAACTGTCGTGTAATTTTGTCGAACTTAAAATTGTTTTAGAAGAAAATACGTATCCAAAATAATCATAAAGTAATGAGTACCTATCGTATATTTTATTACTGATACGAAGTAATTACTCACTGTGAGTTCATGTGTGAGTATCGCTGTTTTATGCAAAATTTGATGAAACAAAACAAGGGCCCAAAAGTTCCCAAGTGGCAACCAAGAATCAGAAAACGTAGGACTCGGTGGACCGACGATTTGAAGAATCGCGGGAAGCACCTAGATGCGGGCAGCGCAGGACCGTTTCCTGTGGCTGTGGGAATCCGTGGCCTTTGTCCAGCAGTGGACAGCATTTTGTACTTACTGTGTTCGCAATGTGAAAGCAGCAGACGTGATGGAGCTCGGCAGTCGCAGACCCTTGATGATCTCCTGCCACAGCTTCTTGTTGATGACCTCCACGAGCCCCCCGCGGGCGATGACCAGGTTGTACAGCTCATACAGGTCCAGAACTGACTTGGCCATGATGGGAAGCCGGTTTATGGGGGTTCCTGGAACAATGGAGGTTGGTGGTTAGCAAAAGGTTAGGTACCAGGTAGGTAAATTAATAAGACATTCACACTATGCTAAGGTTCGTAAATGTAGACGGACTGTGAAAAAATGTAGAGAACGCTATGTCACAATCAATGGGAGGCTTGTGGATTAGCAGAAGTTATACATATACGTATCAGGACATCACCACGTATGACCATGTTTCAATGAGACAAACTATTTGCTAGGGTTCAAAATGTAGATGGTAAAAAGGTAGAGGCCATTTGCTTGTCATAGATGATTATTTACAATATCCGATGGCTTCGACACACAGTTTGTACATTCCTCCCTAAAAAACATTAATTTGCCAGACAGAATATCATTTTGTATAGGTACCTAGGTACTGTGTACGAGCATAGAGCATATTCAACTCAACTAAGTCTATAACATTGTTGGTTATTACATTCTACTCCTTGGCTGTGCAATATGTGAGCAAACCTTCGGCCCGTATGTCTCAAACGTGATGACAGAGATCGGATAGTTGCGCCGAAAACAAACTGAACGGCGTTCGTGTGCGATAGTTCGGTCATAAAACCTTTACAGCTACGGCCACTGTGTAAAGTTGAGATCACACGTGAGGCGGCTGCGTAGTTCTCATTATTTTAATTTTTGTTGTCATAACGATAAAAATTCCACTTTAATCTGTAGCAAAATTGAATTTCTAAAGGACTAAAGACCCTAGTTTCTCAGTTAATTGAATTTGAAACTACATCACTTGCTAGTTTAATTTAAAGGCGTAAAGAGATGGCTATAAACTGAGTAAGCAATCTGTGAACTTCGTTCATGATAAAAAGTGAATTAAAAATATCTTTATTAAGTAGAGGATGTCGAAGCTAATTTGTCCACATCTATCCGTGTGGCCTCGGCTTTATAGCGCACTGGACAAGGGTAGTAAAACGCGCGTGCGTGGCAAATCGCGCCGGATCGCGCGATTGGTGATTTATGATGTGCGCGAGCGCGTCAGATCGCGCGTTTACGACACGACGGATTTAGCACACACAGTAGGGATGCTTGGAAACGGATATTTTTGTCAAATTTCTCTTAATCTGTTGAGCAAACAATAATAGTAATAGACATTTAAATAGGTACTATTTTTGTGTTTAAAATAAAATTTTAGTTAAGTTGCTTTGCATTATCTTCTTATTTAAACAGAACTTATATTGAGGATCTTTATTTCGAGAAGGTAGGAGCTTGGTGACGTATCATTTTAAATTATTGTCTTTTATTTTTAATGGATTGTTTTCGTAGTGCAGTTCGTATCCGAAACCAAACTTACGGANCTTACGAATCAGTATTCGACTCGTATCCGAAGTCCGAACCCGCACATCACTACGCGGCCCGTGTGGCCATTGCGGAAGCCATAGTTTGTTACAGGATTGTTTGCGGCACTTGATTTACAATAATTTGGTGGTTAAACTCGAGCTATGAAGTGACGAGTATAGAACTGCCCCTCTTACGTCTTCTTCGTGCGTAAATCAAATAATTATGAACGCAGTTTATTTATTTATTAATCAGCAGGAATTAACGCGGGAAATGTAGGAACAAGCGAAGCGATATGAGTATTTGCAGTTACGGTATATTCTTGCTTTGTTATTAGTCTGATTGGGAAAATTTATTTTACAGATCACGTAAATTATCATGAAAATTAAATCTGAAGATGAGATCAGACATTGCTTTAAAATTAAGTCAGCAATAAACTTAAATTTGACTAGTTTTACGTGAAAATTAATTCCACTCAGTAATTTAAAAATAGTACTTTTTAAATGAAAGCAGAGCAGCTTAAAATTTAATTTAAATGCAAAATCAATGAACAACTCCTGCAACAATTTCCAATAGGAAAACCTCCCGATCGTTTGCTCGCTCTCGATTGACGAGCGGAACATTAGCGAATGCCGAAACGACTATTTGTCAATCCGTCTTCCTGTCAGCTGTTAATCATCCCCTTTGGGGGTGGAACATCACCCTTCCAAGATTAATTGCCGCGTTCATGTTTAAAGGGGGGTGATGGGCTGGAATTGGAGCAATAAGAGAGGATACCTACATTGTAAATGTACGTGTTAATCAGTCAATGTCAGTGTTTGAAGAAAATCGGCTCGTTATCATCATTGGTTGATGCTAAATAAATTAAGAATAATGCTATTTTTGCCGCAGGTCACTTGCTTTGTCTATATTTTCTTTCATAAAATATAATTTCAGCAGCAATTCCTGAAAGCTTGATTATTATAGAGAATAATAGAGATTCATATGCATGAAGATATTTAACGTTTACCTTCTATATTGGGAGCTAGCTTCAAAGTTGAAAACTTGATAGAAACTTAATCTTCGTAATAAATTGAAGTTCAAAACACTTCATACATACATGATTGAATTTATTTATGAATGTCGTTTTATAATTCGTGTCAAATTGCCTTTACCATAATTATTTAGTGTGTGATCTCTACAATAGAGCTATCATCTTGATCGTCATCATTACATTATTACCATCTCATTATATTGACCAATAGCAAAATGCAGAATTAGTAACAGACCATCTGACTAAGTTACAATGTCTCCTATGAGTCACGAAAAGCGTCGCAATAAAATCTAAAGATGGTCAGATATTCACGAATAAAGACAATAAATACATCTTTACACCGAACGGCCTTTATTCTATACAATGTGTGATATGAGTAATGCTTTTGAATGTTTATTTCTACAGAATTCATCACGACTATGATCTCATGCGATAGCGAATTTCCGCGATTGCTGAAAATGAAAAGAAGTAAGTATGTAGTACCTATTTAGTTTAATTGTTATGTTAGTCATTGAGGATAAACGAAACTTCTGTAAAGAATACATGATTTTGTGATAAGTTATTTATTTCTGTAGGTAGGTAGCTTCAAAAGGAATAACTATGCAATGATTCAATTTAAATGAGATAGGCCATGGATATAGGTATAATTCTAGAGCCACTTGGTGTGGCGTTGTATGGTATGGGTGAACTCATGGGAAACCCCAAGATGTTGATGATGATGATCGTCATGTAAGTTAGCAGTTAATAGTTTTATTCTCATAAAAAGAAAAGTATTTCACTTATAATGAGAATGTAGAGACAAATTCTTAAAAGCCTACTTTCAAAAAGTGGAGTGACAGATTCTATAGATAACAAACACTTTAAAAACACTCATCATCATCATCGTCATCATTGCAGCCATAGGACGGCCTCCCCCAATGATTTCCATGTTGACCGGTTGGTAGCGGCCTGCGTTCAGCGCCTTCCTGCTACCTTTATGATGTCGTCGGTCCACCTTGTGGGACCAGTGTTAAAAACACTACATATTTAGTTGTAATAAGGTGGTATACGACCACAAAGATTATTTAGGGTTTCGTTTTTCACAAAGAAAAAGCTCAAGCGCTTGAAAAGCCCCTAAGAATCAAAAACATCCTCATAGAGCCTTGTTAGCTTTATTAAATACACTTGACAATAAGTTATTATTAGCCACGCCACCAGTTCAACCGTGGCGTGGCGTGGCCGGCGTCACGAGACAGATCAAAGGCAAGGTGCTATCAACGAGAAATGGCTGCTACGAAGCCCTAGCCTCCGAGCATACAGGGTTGGCAGCTACGAATAAGGGTTATTATTTTCGTTTTAAAGAATGAGACTCTAAGAATAATGGGAAAAGATATAGACTTGGATTTACAAGGTATATTGTTACCCACAATAAGATCTCATTGTATTTTCAACTCTGTGCTTTTCGTAAGACTCTGCGTCATTTTTGCAATGAAATATTACCGTATCTGTAATTTTTACTCGCTTAAGTTTGACCGTATTTTGTCATTTTTTGTCTTCTCTACAGTGTCATAGTTTGGGNAGTTTGGACTCCTTTGTAAAATCTCAAAATCTAAATTTGATTACGTAATTAATAATTTGCAAATAAGGAAAAGAACACTGGAAAATAATGTAGAGACTTATTAATTACTAAAGAATATTTTTGTATGTATTTAGTTATTCAGACTTGATGACCCTGTGCAAAAATGTATCTATTTATAGAAAAAACGGAGGTCGGGAGAGAGTTGCGTTACACCGTAAAATGCCATAAAATGCAACGCTATGCAATGGGACAAAGCAACATAGTGCAAAGTCATAAACACTGCCAACGTGCTGTATCGGGTTTGGGTGGCTCATTTGAACATTATCATTGACTTAAAAATACCACTTTCATCTAGAGTGTAAGGTGACTTGAAAATACTTAACCCTTCTAGCCCCACGAATTGAGACAATAGAAATCAATGGTTGCGCGGTCATATGCGACCGTTTGGACAATAATGGGTTATGTAAATAATTTTAATAAAGAACAGACCAAAAACAAGAGACAGTAATTATACCTATTTTTAACAAACCTACTCGTAAAGATTTCAGTGAAACAAAAGAATGAGAAGAATGGATCGTACCATGTATGAAAAATGTTAACAAAATGTAGGTCAACATAACACTCCGTTATTTCTGAAATTGACTTAACTGCATATTAAAATAAGTGTCTATGCATATGCAAATGAGCTATAAAGTAACATATGCGAATATATTAACGCAATTGAACGAAACGCTGATAAAGCACGACCCGACTTCCTCGGCTAAATTGCATAACCGTACCCTGTTATCAGGAGGCTCGGTAAACTACCGCTATCCGACAAAATAACAAGTTGGTTACAAGAACCGATGTACAAAAGCTATTGTTTATGAAAGCAATCACCCCAATAACGATTTCCACAAAACGCAATCCCGTCGCCGGCGGCGGAAAACGCGCGATTCGCTGCGCGTGCGCTTAGCTGCGTGCGCGCGCTGTTTGCATAACCCGACCGAATTCAAAAGCTAACGCCACCTCACTACAACACACGACCAACAACCTACTCAATTCCCCCAACTAACACGTAATTTACGACGTATGTCAAATCAACTGGAGAGCCAATCTAATCGTGCCCA